ATTTCTTATCAGGTTGGTACTATCCACCTCTGCTCTAGTTCAAGGAATGGCCTTCATCAGAAGGTCATCCCGAGCTGAGCTTTGAATGGTGAGCGGGAGGTCCATAAGTGTCTAAGTGGGAATAATGGCACACAACTGGTATGGCTGAAGAGTTCATTAAAAAGCCATTAGAAACAAGAGGCAATTTGCATGGGCAGGGCCTTGAATGGGGGCACCAAGACATTCACAGACTAGATAATCCTGCCCATTGGGAAACTTACTTCCAGTGCCCATGTTATACTAAGTAATGATTTTGATGCAGTCTTGATTTTCTGTGCTGTCTGCAAATGCAGCCAAACAGAACAGTACATATGATGGAATTACCCCCTTTGGGATTATTTTCCATGGATGGATAGCAATGGGTTAATGACTAATGTTTGCCCAGTGACAGATATCTCTTTTGTCTAGTGTTTACATATGTTGTAAGGTTTTTTTTTTTTTTTTTTTGAGTTTCATTTGTTTGTTGGCAGAGAAGGTAGGGATTTGGCTAAAATAAGTATCTTCCATCCTTATCAGGACCTGTCAACATACTTAAATGGATGGCATTTTTTTTATACCTGTTAAAGGGATACAATATTGTTTGCTCTTTTCACTGAAGCAAAGAATTATTACCATTCTTTAAAAAAAATCTTTCTGAAGGATGAAATAACACTTCACTCCGAAGGATAATTAACCTTTTTTGGGGGGCAGCAAAGAAATGTATGCATGTGCACTAACTTGGACTACTGCATCATCACATCATTCAGAAGGATGTGAAGGTCTATCTCCAGACAGAGCGAGGTAAGTAGATACACTTATTGCCCAGTGGCAGAGACAGATACAGAACCACGAAAACCCCAAAATGGGAAGAGGACATTCCTTTTAGATGATCCTCAATAGAGCTGAGGGCCTAGGAGGACCATCGTCTGATAGTTTATTGGGATTTTTCCCAAAATGCGAGTCCTAGAAGACGAACCATTCCTCGACCAAAATGTGGTAGCAGCTCCTCCCCCACTCTAACTAAAAGAACCATCTACAAAGAACTAAACTGAAACCCCAGAACCCGGGACGGGAAAGAAGGGGTTTCTTCTGAATTTTAAACATCCGCATACATCTAGTAAATTTTAGGAGAAAAATGAACTGGTTTTTTAAAATGATTTTCTTTATTAACATAAAATGTTTTTATTTGAAGTTTAATTTGCTTATTTAATGTTTTGCTGATTTGGAGTTCATTTAAAGATGACAGTCAGACAGGGGAGCCTGGGTGGTTTAACTGGCTGAGTGTCTGACTCGATTTTGGTTCAGGTCATGATCTCAGGATCCTGGGATCGAGCCCTATGATTCTCTCTCTTTCTTAAGATTCTCTCTCTTTCTCCCTCTGCTCCTATCCCTCACTCCTCATGTGCTCTCGCTCTCTCTCTCTTTGAAAAAGAATAAAAATTTTAAAGAAATTAAACAAAGATGATGGCCAGATGGGAAGAATTTCACTTTTGTCATTTATTTAGCAAAAATGTATTAAGTCCTACGATGGATCCGGGTGCCCTCTGGGTTCCTGGGCCACCCCAGGGTACTAACGGGACAGAGCTTCCTGCCCTTAGTGGGCAAATGTTCCGGGGGCAGGGAGATGGACAAAATGCAAGACAGAGAAGTGTTATGCTATATGTTAGGAGGTCACCCATGCTGTGGAGAGAAGGGAAGTGGGGAAGGGGGTGAGATTTAAGAATAATGGCCAGAAAAGGTTCTACTGGAAAGAACACCTGACGGATGAAGGCAGACGCGCATGGACACTTGGAGAAGGAGCAGCCTGTTCAGAGGTCCTGAGGCAGGATCGTGGCTCATGTGAACCACATGTGAACCCGTGAATACAGCATGTTAGTAGCAGCAAGAGGGAAGAAGGTGAGGGTGGAGGGGAATCAGAGAGCTGGATTAAGCAGGGCCATATCTGCCTGGTGAGGATTGCACTTCCACTGAGGAGGACAGGACAGGGGTCAAGCTCTGGTTAGGCTTTTAACAGGACCACTCTGGCTGCTGTGTTGAGAATGGACGGTAGGGGGCGAGAGCAGAGGGAATTGCCATGGTAATAACCAGGTAGGTGGGCTATGGTGGGAGTTTGGGGAAGAGTGATCAGATTTGCTGATGGACCAGGTATGGGGACTGAAGAGTCAAAGGGCACTGAAAGGTGCCTCTCCTGGATCATGGCAAGGACAAACTGACGATTGCTGTTGGGGAAGACTGTGGAGGGACTTTGTTAGAAGGAAAGTTAAGAAACTCAGGTCTGGAGATGTATCTGGGATGCCTGTTGGACAGCCAGTATAAGTGCTGGACAGACAGCTAGACCCAGAGATGTGGGATTCGCACCAGGGGTATTCATCTGAGAGTCCTCGGAATACAGATCTTTAACACCATGAAACCACAGGCGGTCACCAAAGCTTTGACCGAGAAGTGACAGAAAAGAGAAGTCCAAGTTCAGCTCTTGGCCGTCGTTGCTGTTCTTCATTCAAAGTCACTGCAACTTTCTTTTCAATACACAAAATTCTGTACAGCATTTCCTATAAAAATCACTACTTTGATACCATATTTAAAGTCAAAGAGCTTGCGGAGGTCACATTTCCTTTCTTGGAGATGGAGAAGGCAGGTGTGTTGGGATTATTTTTGTTGTTGTTGCTGTTGGTGAATTCTGCTTTTCTCATTCAAGAAAGAAGTGATTGATTCCATAAAGCCAGTGACTTGGATATTTTCAGTTCTATTTTTAAATGACTGGCTCCCTTTCCTGGCTGGTGACATTTGATAGTAAAGGCTTAATTTAACATAGGCAATATGGAGCTCCAAATGTTCTTGCCTCAGAGAGAGTCCTAGATAACGGGCCTCTGAGAAAGAAGAGGTGCCTGGAAGCTAGGAAACCAATCAATAGTTCCCTATTTTGTTATATTTTAGTCCACCAAAAGAAATAAAATGTGCAAGCACACAATACCTAGTAGTTAGTATCCAGGCAGTGGACTGATTAGCTATTGATTTTTCCTCCATTTTACACAGGAGCAAGAGGGTTTTATCAGATGCCCCAGCTCTGTCCCGTCTGAAACAACTACATAAGGAAAGGAAGGGTGCATATGGAGCAGGTAATCTTCTAAGTTAATGGCCTAGTTTAACTATACAAAATCCATAAGCAACACTTACGTTATTTTCAAACTAAGTATAAATATCAAATTGTGAGCCTATTTTTCATGGCTTGTAAGACAGCGTGGACTTAACAAGTACTTGCATTCATTAGACAAAGATTCGAAGTCTGTTTTCCCTGTAAATAACTACATGGATGACGGTCCACAGTACTTTTGTTTTTATTGGAGGATATGATAGGTATTATGAAACGGCAGGCAAAAAAGGGGCCGGGTTTCCTGATCACAGAGGGCTTGGAATGCCACGCTCAGGAATGAGGATAGAGCAAATAGAGCCACGTCTCCATGCGAAATTTGTGTATGACATTTAGCCCCCTGCCTGGGACCCCAGCTGCCCCACGAGTGGAATCTCAACCCGCTGCCCATGCTCACCCACTTTCTCCCTTTCCCCCAGCCGAGAGGCGGTGCCATCTGCACCTTTGGCATGGTGGCTCATCTGGCTCCCTGCTACCTGAACTCCACCGACACCTGTTACCTGCACGGAGCCTCGCCAGGCTTCATGAGGCATTGGCCAAAGACCCTACGAGAATCCTCTCTTTAATCTCAGATGCCCTAGCGGGACTGCACGTCTGTCGGGAGGCTTGTGTCTTTTCTGGGGGGGGGGTGTCTCCTCGTTCACCACTCCTCCAGGCATTCGTCAGCCTTGTCATGGGATCTTCCTTCCCCACCTGCAGGGGGAGGAGCCAGGAGGCCTCTCCTACCTGGGCTCCTACCACTCACTCTGCACCAGACACAAAAAGCCCCTTGGTTACCTTGAACTCGCCGCATAGCTCCCAGCTCCCCCACCATTTGCTCTTCTCCTAAATGTCCACAAAACCTACTCTCACCTCCTTCAGGTCTTTGCTCAAATGTAACCTTCCCACAACTATCTTGACTTTGACGTCCCACTTAAAATCACAACCCCTTATGCTGAGTGGGAGAAGCCAGATGCAAACACTCACACATGACATGATTCCATTTACGTGAAATATGCAGAATGGGGATGTCTGTAGAGACAGAAAGGAGACTGTGGCTGCCAGGGTCTTGGAGGAGGGAAAGCTCGGGTGCCTACGTAATAGTTTCAGGGTTTTCTTTACGGCGATGAAAAGGCTTTGGAACTTGATAGAGATAGTAGTTGTGCAGCATTATGAAAATACTAAATGCCACTGTAATGGCGAACCCTGAAGTGATTAATACAATGTTATGTGAATTTCATCTCAATTAAAAAAAATCTCAGCCTCACAATTACGGTTTCACTGATAAAGTCTCTGAGCCTAAAACAGGCATGGAACAAAGTAGGTCATGGATAAACATTTGTTGAATAAATAGATGAATATATGATCTCCTTAATGCGTCATTAATAAAAGATCTTCCCTATTTCTTGAATACCAAATTAGAGGAAGACGAGTCTTTTAAAAATAGGATTAAAGAGCCAGTATGCTCTAATCCAAAACAGATCTTCAAACAGATAGGGGAAGAGATGTGGCATGTAGCCATTAGAATTCCGGTTCACCACGTGGAACGCAAACAAACAACCAGACAGAGATGTAGAGGCTCAGGACACTGGTATCCAGTGCTGAGCTCTGTGGTCGTTTTTACTTTGCAAGCATTAGGAATGTCAACACACACTGTGATTTCCTCTAAATTCTAAAAGAGAGATCAGCGCATTGGATTTCAAGAAGAAGGCTAGCTGGAAGAATGCGACCTCAAATACACGCACTGCTTCTGCATGTGCAGATGTCCTGCCTATGGATTCGGCCACATGCACCCTGCCAGGAAAGGTTTTCATTTCTCACGATTCTGAGACGCTGTGAACTGGGGAGAACGTACCAATGAGCTCCTTGTTTCTGACGTCCAAGGCCATGTTCCGGAGCGCCGTGGCCACCGCGCACACCACACGGTCATTATCTATTCGGAGCAGCTCCACAAGGATAGGCAGGCCTTTCTCTTTTCGGACAGCAGCCCGGATATATACTGACCACTGTAACGAGAGGGAAGGCCAAGGCGTTAGACGTGGAGGTGGAAAACCCTAGAAGCTAATACCACGTGCAGGCTTTCAGACGGCTGTTTACAGGAGCCAAAAAGGATCAATTATCAAGACCTACTTGTAGAACTGGCTGAATGCGGTAGGCATGTACTGAAGTGTCTTAACTTTATTTTCTGCTTTCAGTATGTGGAAGAGGTTTCTGGATTAATCAGTTAGCCACAGTTATTTCTCGGATGCTGGCATTTGCAGTCCTTGACTTGGGCAAGCCATTTGTGTGATCTTGTACCCTTGATGCTTTAAGATATGGAGGTCTAGGACAGGAAGGGTGGGCTGGTTTTTTTGGGGTTAAGAGGAATAAAAAAGAGCTCCAGAAAAGGTAGAAAATGATAAAAGGTTGGGAACAGGTCATTTTTTTTTAAAAAAAAGACTTGGCATTTGGAGGTGGGGTACATAGGTAAAGCAGTGAGCAGACTGTGCATAAGTTGTTGGCTGAATAATAAAAAGTAAATGGGTCAGAAAAAGGTAGGGGTGAGGAGAGGTAAACACGACATTTAAAGTCAAGAGTAAAAACTATAAAAGAATTTTAAGAAAACATTTGGATCAAAATGTATTATGTCTAGGGCCATAATTCAACGTCCAATTTATAAAGTAAGACATACAATTTGTTTTAGATGGGTGGTTGTTGGCTTTAATGGAACACACCTAACCTTCATCTGAAAAGTGCTTGCAACTTCAGGATGATAAAGCATTCAGATGCATTGAACAGAATGCAGGGAGGTCCAGGTTTTCCGGACATTTACATATATACTTTATACTGTTGTACTCTGTTCCACAGAAGAGTATGACCATAAAAACCAAGCAATCTAAGGGTTTAAGAAAATGGCATTCATGACTGAAGGTTTGGATTCTGTGGCAGCGTCCTCCAGGGAACCACCAAAGGTGGGGCAAAGTCCCCACCCCTCCCCCGCCGGGCCCCTCCATCCCCCATTCCCATAGGGGCAGGCACCCCAGAGCTGGCTCTCACCTGTGGCAGGCAGGGAGCCCCCTCTGGCAGTGAACGTAGGGCATACGCCATGCCTGCCACATCCTCAGCCCAGCCCTGCATGAAATATGAGATTAAAAAAACACACAACTTCATCCTGTCCTACGTCAGAAGTCACATTCACATAGTTTCTTATCACCATCAACTCACGCTCTATGCTTTTTCTCCTGCTCCCACTCTGTGCGTCAAGCTCTAGGAAGCCCGAGGGCCTTGGGGAAGCAGACTGAATTCACTAAAACATCTCTTGATTGCAATGGACTATTTCACAGCCCCACTCTCAGAAAGCAATGAAATCAACAGTCAGAATTTCTTAGACGTAGAAAAACCTCAAGGTTTGGAAACTGCTCATTGGAACTTGGGTGTCTGGGTGGGATATCCCTCCTGAGGGAGGGAGGACCTTCATGAAGACAGTACAAAACCACCTTTATGTCATCAGAAATTCCACTTGCAATATGACATGCTGAGACATGCTTTTCATTCACCTCCTCTACTACCTGTGAACCTTCTTGTCTCCAGTGCCCGGAAAAGACTAGAAACCTGAGCTTATACAGCCCACTCATTGTTGGCTTTCTTCCCTAAAACTAAGAAAGGAAGCTAGAAAAAAGAAGAAAATGGAAATCAGATGTAGGGTCAATGTCCATGTATTGTAAGATAAACATTAACAATAAACTTTACTGCTGGGGTGATATTCTGGACCTTTGAAGACACCACAGGGAATGTTCTTGGTCACCTGAGCAGGTTGAAGTATAAGTCCTAAAGATGACTTCTTTGGTACCTCATTCTAGGTGCAGGAAGCTGCCTTGTGCATTATTGATCTCTCCTAGTTCCCCAAGTCCCTAGGAGCTTGGCACTAGTATTCTTATTTTGCAGATGGGGAAATCTAGACACAAAGATGTTAAATAACCTTCCCATAAGGGTCACCTGCACCTGGTCCTGTCACTCCACTTCTGCATCTCTTTATGATGCCGACAATACTTCCTCCTCTGCCATCACCTCTCTCTAAGAGTAGCTGAGCCTAATCCTCTATGCTAAGTCTCCCAGACACTGCCTCACCCTCCCCTCCATCCTACTACATGTAGACAGAGGAGAACCTGGCTGTATCTGAAATGACCTAAGAAAGGAAGGCTTTGACTTTGTTTTTTCTTCTTAGAAGTTCGGCTATTAACATCCCTCCCATGTTGGATGGAAAGATGATCTGGTGTTTGGAAAATAATGACAATCCTTAAGCTTTCCTGGGAAGTGATTTTAGAGTAACCAAAAAATGGCTATCTATAGCCAAAAACGTGTATGAGTTATAGATATGACTTTTTGGTGTGAGAAAATGGTCAGCAACAGTGGTATGTTCTTCCTAACTGAAAAGAGATAATTAGAGAATGGATTTGATCTTACATTATTGATACACAGAAAATAACTTCTATTTTGACACTTTTAGTTCTGTGTGCTTGCATGTACAGTTGACCCTTGAACAACACAGGGTTTGGGTTACTGACCCCCTCTGTGGTCAAAAATCTGCGTAAAGGTTTTGACTCCCCCCAAACTTAATAGCCTGCTGTTGACCTAAAGCCTTGCCAACAACACGAATAGTAGATTAACACAGGTGTTGTATGTTATATGTATTTATACTGTATTCTTATAAGAACATAAGCTAAAGAAAAGATATTATTCAGAAAATCATAAGAGATAATACATAATGTCTTATAATACAGATAATACAGTACTGATGTATTTATTGAAAAAAGTCCATGAGTAAGTGGACCTGCATAGTCCAAACTCATATTGTTCAAGAGTCAACTGTATATGAAAAATTCCCAATATTAACTCTATATAGGACAACTCAGAATACATTATTTACATTTCGCTCAAGAGATGTTGCAAATTTCCACACGTTTTCTTGACATGCAAAGCTACATGACAGCGATGGCTCCTAAATAGTAATCAGTCTTGGGGTAGATCATGTGTAACCCATGCATGTAACCTCCATGAAGCCCAGCATGAAGGAGTGAAAGAGTGCAGGGTGGAAAGAGAGAAAGTGATTCAGTAAATGGGGAATATTGCATTGGTGCCCTCAACATAGAAACATGAACTCATGTAGAGGTTTTCTGGAAAAGAAGTAAGTTGTCTTGAAAAGCATGGCAGTCTCTGTGGTGGTGAGAAAGGTATCCGGGTTGCCAAGAGTTTGGTAACAGAAATAAAAGTAGGAGTGTTGCTGGAATAAAAATTGCTGAACAAGAGAAAAAAACGCATCATAACTCATTGTGGCTGAGGTGGAAATCTTTGGGTGGAACCTTAACTTCCTGTAAGTGGAGCATGAGAGCATTGTGCACAGAGCACACTATGGAGGGAAGTCTATACAGTATAGAGGGAAGGGCATGGACCAGGATGCCTTTAAGAAAAGTGGTCCATGAACCAAAGAGACGATGTTTGATGATTCAAAAAGAGAAGAAGGGAGAGGGGAAGGAAGAAGAGGGGGAAGGGGAGGGGGAGAATGACGAAGAAGATGGAGGAGGAGGATCTGGTCCAGGAGGAAAGAGCACAGACATGTCTCAAAGTCTTCTTGGCGAGATGCTTTCCCAGTGATGATCTCAGGAGAGCCATGAGCCCTCAAAATATAGCCGCTAAAACAAACTTAACACTTAAATCAACTTCAGGTACTGCTCTAATGCCTTTATATGTATTAGCTCACTTAATCCCCATCTCTACCCTATGCAGTAGGCAGTATGGTAACTTCCACTTTGCAGATGAGGCAAGGGAGCCACAGCAAGGCCTCACAGCCTGCAGACGCTTGAACCCAGAGAGCGCTGTCCCAGAGTTGGTGCGCTCGGCCACCATTCTCATCTGCCTCTCAGAGAGACATCGGCACTCATAGTTGATATAATCTTTACAAAGGCACCAATTAATCTTGGTTTAATAATCAATGTTATTACCTCGGACTTGCAATAACCTATCTGCCACTCCTCAAAACTCCTGAGTTAAAGACGCTTCAAGTGCTATCAATGGGGCCACGGGACATTTCAACACTGTCATGAGAACAGCTTGCCCAGATTGCAGACCTGATACAAGAAGTTGTGTGTAATTGGAATTACAAAGAGAAAGGCCTAGTTTGTGTCAGGAAAGGATGCTTCTACACATGTGATGCAACAGTAATTCAAACCACTAAATGCTGTTTCTCCTCCTTGCTTATAGCTCTTGAAGAAAGGCTCTGCTGTTACTTGGCCCAAGGAGGTGTTTTCAGGATGGGGCAGAGCATAAAGCAGTGAATGCTGACTTTAAGGGTGGAGGACAAAGATGTAGGTAAAAGGCTGGACGTATCTGGAAAGGAATGAGAATACGCAGAAGACAGTTTGCCATCTCCTCAGTCAACACAGAGCCTCCAAGTCCTGGAGAGACAGGATCCAAGTTGGAGAGGAAGCGGGAGGTGTGAGAGCATTGTGGGGGCTCCCACCTGAGGCTCCCCCAGACAAGTCCTGCTCTGTGTGAGGGGATGACAATGATCCCTGGAAGATGGAAGAAGGGCTGAGATGACCAAGGCTCTGCTGCCCGTCCTGACCACCGCAGTGTCTGTCCAAGACTCAGGCAAGTCCCTGCATCATCATGGAGTGGGGGGCCACGGAGCAGTGGCAACAGACTCGGGGGGCAGGGAAGGGATCCTGTGGCCCCGGTGTGGCATAGGGTAGCCTCTGAGCATTTCTGTTGTCTCCGGTGGGTGGGCCATGTAAGTTAGCTGAGGAGAAAAGGCTAAGGACCCAGGGCTGCAGAGGGCGTAGTTGGCCAGCAGAGGGGACACATCAGAACAGCAGGTGTAGACGGTGCTTGCCTGGGTTAAGGAGAGGATGCTGTTGCATCTCAGGGGAGCTTAATAGTTGTGGGGGCGGGCAGCAGTGGGCCAGGAGAGCGCCTTGGACTACAAAGAGTCCAATCACCAATCATCATATCCCATCTGAAAGCCCAACAGGACAAGAAAGTTTGTCCTGAGCAAGAGGCAGCTTAGGACAGAGATGATGCCACACTGAGAAACAGACCCCCAATCCCTGTCACCTGCAGGGATATTTCTGCGAGACCCCCCAACCCCCAAGTATGGCATCAACCGCAGGGGGCAGGAGAGCATGAAGGCTGACAAACATAAATATGGCCAAGTGTTAAGCCATTTGAGTTTACCTAGAAATGTCTAGATTGTTTCTTTTCTTTTGTTTGCTTTTTGCGTTGGACAAAATGAGAACACAGAGATGAAACCAAACTGAATTACACGAGGTTTTATTCAACAATGTTCCTCACTGTCCACATGGAGGATTTGGTAATAAAGTGAAGGCAGGGTTGCCTGGGGCTCAGTCGGTTAAGCTTCGGCTCAGGATATGATCTCACGATTCGTGAGTTCGAGCCCCACGTCGGGCTCTGTGCTGACAGCTCAGAGCCTAGAGCCTGCTTCAGATTCTGTGTCTCCCGTTCTGCCCCTCCCCTGCTTGCGAGTGCACACATGCACTCTGTCTCTCTGTCTCTCTCTCTCAAATATAAAGACATCAAAAAAATTTTTTTTAATTTAAAAATAAAGTGAAGGCAATGCTTTTTAACCCTTTCAACTCTGGCTACCTCAATTCTCAGGATTCTCAGGATCCACAATTCAGTGGATTCTCAGGAGCTTCACTTTTCAAATTCTCAGCCCAGCCATGAACAGGATCAATGGCTGTAATTTTCCCCCAAATTTCTCCCCTGTTAAGCCCTGGTTAAGGCTGACTTATCTTCCTAAAAGAAGATTAACAGTGTAATTTAACTAGCTTTTCCCTCTTGAAATCCTAATAATTTGCTAAATAATTAGAGACAAGGTTCTCTTTTTAGTACTAAATATTCTATTAAGAAGCTGAACCCATGTTAGTGCTAAACTTCTGACTGTCGATTAATATCTCTATTCACATTAAATATTAATATTTTTGATTCATATCTTACAAGTTCTCCTGCTTTACAAGTATAGTCTGTGATTAAATGGTTTCTGTTGCATGACCGTTTTCCCATTGAATTCCTTTATCAAATCCCCTACTTTTCCTTTTGATGGGGTAAAGAAAAGT